ATACCACTTGAAGCAAAGGAAAACTCCTTGACACAAGCGGGTCTCTGAATTAAATCACCGTTGCTCTGCCAACTTAGCAACAAGGACAGACAGTGGTGGTTGTACCCAGTCCCATACCCTAGAATTCGCTACTTTCCAGCTTGTTGTATAAGCGCAGCATTGCGTTCCTAATTGTACCCCTCCCTGAGGTTTTTTTTCCTAAGAACACGTAAAGACCTGAGGGCACATGTAAGTCAAGTTTCAAATTTAGAAACAGCTAGAGCTTGATATATTAGGAAAAATAAGGCCATGAAAAAAAACAAACAAACAATTCGTGTAAAAGGTAGGCTAGCTAGTAATCCTTAAATCCATGACAGTGCGGTGCTTTATATTCTTTATTTAACCGTGTATGTGGATATTATGAAGTTATTAATTTTGACAACTTTTAATAGATATGTTTACCTTAATAGAGTTTTCGTAGATTTTTAAATGTTTAAGCAATATGTTAGTGGATTTGTATTTTTTAAAAACGGAGTTTGATTTAGTATATTCCTTTTTACCAGAGTTTTAGTATATTTGTATTTTTAAACAAAGATTTTGTATTTGTAATTTTTAATCGATGTTATAGCGGACTAATTTGTATGTTTGTAAAACAGGTAAACGTGTTAACGCGAAAAAATGAGTGAACTCAAAGTTGTTGAGGAAGACTTCGCTTTGTTTGTTATTACAACAATAGTGTAGGTTGGTCCTATATCACGCTTATAGTACGCTAAGTAAGCTCGTATTTTATTAGCATTATCACGTTGACTTGTTATGGCACTGTATTTATAACGCCGTAGGGTCCTTTAGTGTAATATAATGGCTGCATTCAAGACTTCACTTAGTGTACCAGTAATATGCCATTGATCTTTCAATACAATAACTTAATACTTAACTGCAATGGGAAGACCGTTTTTTCACGCAAGCAGCTATTTTGCAATAATTTGCGTATTATTCAGACTACATGTGTTCCATATTCTCAAGATTCCGTCTAAGATCATGATGTTTGATAAAGTGACGGCTAACACAAAGGACACTACTAACAAACCAAGACAGACACTACTTACAATACCACTAACGATACGTTACTTATACTACTTACTATACAATACTTCCCTAGAGTACAATTCTCACACTACTTTTTACAGTTTTTTTTTTTCAGTTTCACTGACACGCTAGTTTGGAAACACGCTCCAAAAGTATGACATTAGAGAGCAGTGAAAAGACCTGATCGATAGAGCCTGTCAGTCAAACATTGAGGGCTTACACAATGATCATGTATTGTGACTCTAAAGAGACTAATATTAGTGTTCATTTGGTGGAAATTGTGTTTGCACTATTTTTGTTTTTGTCGTTTAAAGTTTGCGAAGAAAATTGTTTTTGTATTGCTCAGTTTCATGGGGTTGATCCAAAATAGAGGTTGAAAGAGTTATTTGAAATTGTTTGGAAAGTGATTAAAACCAATACTTACAGAAGAGTGGGCTCAAAAGGAGTATGTTGAACTTTGCCACATCTCAACACTGCACAATACTTCACTTCGCTTCTCGGGTAAACATTTGTTTTAAGAACATCAAATTTCTGCGGGGCAACCATCAGCCGATAGGTCCTCGACAGAAACACTCTATTGTTTAAATAGAGATCAAGAGAGATACAGTAAAAATCCGTGTGTAAGAACCTCATTTTTTTATATCTGGCAAAATAGGTTCTTGTATTTTGGGGTAGTTATTGGCAATTTAGGCTAAGTAGGTTCTTAATTCCTATGAAGGAGATATATGAGTTGGTTACCAGAAAAATAACTAAACTTGGGTTTCAAACCATTTGGTCCTTGAATATACAGTATCAATTCACTACTGTACTATGTACGTTCTTGACAGGTAAATTTGCAATCTCAAAGTCAGACTCCTAGGTTAAAATGATTATCATAATTCAATTGTAACACACAACAGGTTCTTATATTTGTGGGTATTAAAATGGCAAAGTTTTGCCAGCAGGTTCTGAAACCAGTAAGTTCTTAGATGTGGGTTTTACTGTATATTTCATAAAATGACAGTAACAGTGCAGTGTCAGTAATGTATTGTCTTGTAAGTATTTCACCAGTATGTAATGTAGTAAAAGTAATGTAAGGGATGTAACCCCGGGGTGCAATCTTAGTTCATGTAAGTAGTGATCATAAGTAATGTATAGCTATTACATGTAACATTCCTCAACTCAAGCAATGTTGTATTGTAATGGATTTAACTTAAGTTTAATAAAAAAAGAGTGAATAATCTATTTACTAGAATTCTAACTAAATTGATCCCAAATAATAATTTTCCAATATTATTCCTCTACATCCTAAGTATTACTAAACCCCGTGCTTTAGCAGAACATCCTTCAGACTGAATTCTCATCAGACTGAAGTCTCATATCAACGAAAGTCCTTTTTTCATTGAATTATTCCATTATTTTTCTAAATCTTTGCCTGAAACTGTG